GGATGGTGTTAACAGGTTGGTGAATCGAGCCTTTATCTGAAAAGTTTACCTAATATTGCACCAATTCCAAACCCAAATCCAAGTTTGTTTTCAATTACTTTATTGATACACACCAAGAAAGCTGCTTTGGAAGTTTTGTTGGCAGTGTCTAAGTCAATGGGGTATAATGCTCTTTCTCCAAACTACTAACAGGATCTCTGCAAAGCAGCTTAATTCATCTGCTGCTAAAGGCTAATTTATTAAATTTGAAGTACTTACTAGGCAAAATTGTTCATGGTGGGGAGATAAATACCTTTATCAGCAAGAAAAGCTATTTTTAAAGATACTGGAATATTCACCTGTAAAAACATTGACTGGATTCATACATCATGCCAAACTAAGTTTAGTTTTACCCATAGTTAATGAATAAGCCATAATGGTGCGATTCACACAAAGCACCAAACCGCAAGTCATGATGTATCAATCAGTGGCTGGGATCACACACCATGCTAAGCCCAAACCAAGCTAGCCATATGTTATGGTCTACCCCACTGTTTCTCAACTTTGGCAACTTGAAGACGTGTAGATTTCATGCTGGCTGGGGAATTCTGGGAGTTGAAGTCCACATGTCTTCAAGTTGCCAAGGTTGAGAAACACTGGTCTACTCTGATGTGCGAACCCAACTTTTGCATTCTCCAAAGGAACACATAACAAGGGTAATGTCATCCTTTTATTTCTAATGTTTGGTGGTGATTGCCAATGCTTCTATAGCTAAAAGAGTGTACCTATGTACAATAAAGCATTACCAGCAGATATGAAGAAACTCCCAAGGTTCTGAATGATACACTTTTTTAGGGTTAAAAAGCATGTGCCCCCATAAGTGACCTAATGGGTTCTTCCAGATATGAGCAATGTCCCACATTAGCAAGTAATTCCTCCAACTGTAGTCTTTAGATAGCACCCTACAACTGCCAGAAATGAACTGCTTTTCCTCTTATGCCTCCAGAGAAACACATACAGAAGACGACCTTTGCTTTGGAATTGGGGAGGCTGTCTTCCCACCATGCACCTCACCTCTTGATGAATTTCTAACTATGGTTTGTGCAGGGCATTCAGATTGATGCAGAAACATTTTGTCTCCACTGCAAATAGCTTGCACATCCAACAGATTCTGGCAGCGCAAGGTACAGTGGCCAGAGAATGTGGACTTGTTGGTGATGAAGAGAAAAGGAACAGGAAATAGGGTGCAGGGGAATGATATGGAGTGGCTGCAACCCTGAACAGGACTTACTCCATTTTAATTCCAATAGAGCGAATGTGAAATGGAAGATACTGCAACATGCTTAGAGAAGCCAAACATACTCAGAACATAATTTCATGCAGAGGAAGGAAAATGAAAAACCAGGGAAATGGAATGATAAACCTTGAGAGAAGGCATAGTCAGTTGGCTGATACACTGAATAGGAGCAATCCATAGTACAGCACAGACCCTCTTATAATATAAAAGCAGCCCAACATCATTAGCCAAAAGACCACTTTTCTTGGTACCCAACCAGATCCTCAGGGAAGCCAATAAACAGAAGATAAACACAACTGTCTTGCCCCACTGTTCCTAGCAGCTAGTACTCCATACCCTGTTGTTTCTGAAGTTGGAACCTCCTATGTAGTAGTAAGAACGTGTTCTGTGGATGACACCAATGTACATGTAAACCATCCTTTGTGTCCTTTACGCGGAGCGAACTCACCTTGGCACTACTTCCTGAGAGCACAGAGTAGGGGTAGCAGATCTAGTCTAGAACTAAGCAGTGTGGTGGCCCTTGCACAACAACGCTTCCCAAGATCCTTCCTTTGGTGACCACCAGGCTCCTTGTCACGCTTTGGAAACAGACCATTCTCCTGCAGCTTCCACTTTATGTCACCCTTTGAGGTAGGCTAGGTCAGGAAACAGACTCCACAACTTTGATTGGAACTATATTTTATTGATATAGGCTATAGTAACAGAATCTTGAAAGCCTGACTGTGTTTTCCCTTCCCTGCCTTTTATAACCCAGTGAATTAGGGTGGAGCCAATCTCACACTTTCTGTTTCTGGACTTAATGCACGCTTTTGTTTTCATAACCGTTTCTGCATATTTTCTCCAAAGGCATTTCTGTGGCTCTATTTTCTATCAGCAGCCATTATATACTCTGTAAATTCTAAATATGCCAACCAGTCCAAAAATATTGATCTTAATCTAGTCCATCAAAGAAATTGGCTTCGCACCTCTGTAATATGTTCTGCTTAATACCTGAAAAGGGTCAATTGACTGAATTCTCACATTCAATGAATTGAGTAGTACTGCTCTCTGGCCATCTTTTCCAAACTAGTGCTTCTCCAGATGTGCTGGGTCTTCAGCTCGTTTCCCATTTTTGAGAATTGAAATCTAGCACATTTGGAGGGCACCAGAGAGGCAGAAATATATGTCAATAACCCGAATTTCTATTCGAAGTCCTAAACATTTCAGTCAGGTTCATTCCAAGAATTTCTTAGCATTGTATGTAATGATGTGGCAGGCAGAAAAGGGCAGCTGTCTCCAGAATGAAGATTAGCAAAATTTTCACTGTTTCGATTTCAGCCTGCAACTAAACCATTACAAACAAGAGATTTGCCAAGAGAAAACAAGAAGTAGCAACCAATATTCAGATTGTTGCATTAATAGCTCCACGGTGAAAAGTAAAAGCTCTTTGAACTAGAACTCTGATCACTGAAGAGAAGAGAAGAGAAGAGAAGAGGAGAGGAGAGGAGAGGAGAGGAGAGGAGAGGAGAGAAGAGAAGAGAAGAGAAGAGAAGAGAAGAGAAGAGAAGAGAAGAGAAGAGAAGAGAAGAGAAGAGAAGAGAAGAGAAGAGAAGAGAAGAGAAGAGAAGAGAAGAGAAGAGAAGAGAAGAGAAGAGAAGAGAAGAGAAGAGAAGAGAAGAGAAGAGAAGAGAAGAGAAGAGAAGAGAAGAGAAGAGAAGAGAAGAGAAGAGAAGAGAAGAGAAGAGAAGAGAAGAGAAGAGAAGAGAAGAGAAGAGAAGAGAAGAGAAATTTAGCAAACTGGCTGTTCCCAACAAAATACTGAAGAAGTCATCTTCTTGTTTATTTGATTATGGGAACACTAAATCTGAAGTAAATATTTTAGTGCTAAACATTTCAGTCAGGTTCATTCCAAGAATTTCTTAGCATTAGTGACAACCAAGGAACAAAATCTCAAGTACTGGTCCAGAAATATCTGCTGGGGATCAAAAAAAATCAAGATGGAGGTCACAATGCACATCAAAAAGGGACAGGACTTTCTGCACGCAACCACAGCCCTCATTGCGACTTTTTTAACCCTTCCTGCAGACTCCCCTGCATGAAACCAGTATGATTTGGCCAACTGGAATCCAGAAACTGGATGGCATTTTTTTCCCCTGCAGCACAGACATAGGCTTTTGGAGGTCTCCAAGCATGGTGAGACTTATAAAAATAGCGTAACAGTTTCCCTAGGTTTCTCTTGAAAGCGACGATGTGGAAGCCTGCAAACGCATCTGATGTTCAATTTAAGGCAACTCTGTCCAACAAGGGAGACAAACAAATGGATGGATCTTACTCTCCGAGGATGAGATCCACCAGCAACAATGGAAGTGGTATTTACACTCTTGGATTCAGTCAAGAAAATGGCAAACATTTTAGATCGAGAGATATTCCAACCTAAACCTTCCCCTCCCACAAAAGTTACTTTATCTAACTTCTAATGTTTAGCCCTTTTTTCCCTAGTATCTATCAGTACCAGCTGCTATAATAGATACAGCTTCTGTTAACTAGCCAGGACTTAGAAAAACAGTAACGAGTAACTACAGTGTTTAAGGTTGACACTGCAAGGCTTTTGTTCCCATGAATGTTCAAAGAAGCCAAGTTCAGGTTTTGAAATTGGTACCATTTGGATCCTAACTGGAAGAAGCAATGAAGTCGAGGACTAAAGGGTGCGATTCTGATCAACTGCGCCCCAGTCTTTTTACAGCTGACCCACTCCTTCCATGCCTCTGACAGCATGGCTCGTGAAAAGCGGCGGACAGCCACGTTCTTCTGCTCTGCCAGCGATCCCAGCCTCTGCTCCATCGTTCAAATGACCTGATTTCAGGGTGCAAAATCAAGCTCACCAAGGAACCAATGTGTTCTCCTTCTCACACTTTGGATTGCCTCTCATCTGTCCATTCTTGTTTAGTATTTTGCAGAGCTTGAGTTCTTTGTTCATCCACCTGCACATAATCCACTCGTTGCTCTTCAGAGAGGAAAGGCTTCTGCAGAATGGAAGGCAATAAAACGTAAACACGAGGATCTAGGAAAATGCTGGGTTTACATCACTTCCCCTCTCCTCCTTCACATCCTTAGCTGGACTCTGTTTTTCCCAGCTTGAAGATGAGGGGGACATCAGCAAGAGAAGCCATCACACTTGAACTTGTCCCCATTTGTCACCTTGTCCCTCAACCCAGAACAAATCAAGGAGATCTGTGAACTGGCAGTTCATGGAACACGTTTGGCTTTACATAAAAGGAAATGCTTATCTCCATGTATTTGCCTTGATGGGGCAAGGTCAGAATGAATTCCAATTCCAGAGAGTTTCACCTAAAATACGTTTGCAGTTCTGGGTGCATAAACCAAACACGGATAGCCACTTCCTACTGTGGAAACTGTGGTTAGGATGGAGAAACCTTACTCCTGATTTCTACAATGTTTGCCTTTTTTTCTGCACGACTTTTTGATCCTTTCCAAAT